GAACTGACTAACTCAGACCAGTTTAGAATTAGTTGCAAAAGATGGAAAGGAATGGCTTATCAGTGCTGTGTTCACGGCTATGGAAGCGAATATCCCGTGCATCATCATTCTCATTTGTTGCCCAAATAAGAACTCCATAATTTCCTTCTCCATTCTTCCAGTTTTGTGCTGCTTCAGTGATATCCAGTTGAAGCCATGGTTTAGTAGGAGGGAAGATAACAGTGTCCAAAGTATTTGGATTTGCATCAGTTCCATCAAGAGCAAGATAAGGTTTGCTCCATTTTATTCCAGTCTTGCAATGAGTACTTGTTGCCTGCGACTCTGTCCAATCTTCTTTGATCTAAAATAAAAAATAATACTAACTAATTTTCTCTCATTTCAGGCTACTTCTCCTCTCTTTCCCTTTCTTGTTATAATAACCTGATGAACTTGTACTGTTCTATTGATATTAACTAAAGTTTTTATATAGCTGGCTTTGTGTGAATACCAATACTTCAAGTAAAGTTTTGCTGAAACAATGTTTCCACATTCACTTGGTATGTCACCAAACTGAATGAGAATCCTTTTCTTGACAAAACCAGGATGCTTGCCAAATATAAGAAACTTGTACGAGTTCATGTTTCTTGATCCAACTTCCAGGAAGACATCTTTTGTTGCTTGAAGACAATAGACAGGTCCATTGCCGCAACAAAAATCATTGGCATAACCTGTAGGAAGAAATTATAATATTGACGTGATATTAAAAAAAGTTCACCAGTGGCAGCCATGAAGGCAAGGACTACAATAAGAAAGAAAAAGTATCCAGACATTGTAGATAAGAAATCCAATCCTATGATTATAATCACAAGTCTCCAGCTCGCCTCTTTTATCAAGCTACAAATGTACATGTATAATTAAATATGTCAGTATGTGTAGACAAACCGCTGTTTACGCTATAGTACTTCACCTATACAAAGGTCAATGAGGACAATAATGAGCTATTGAACTCCCCTAATATGAGCACAAATGATTGGTCTCTATTGACCTCAAGCAGGCGTGAGATTAAGTAAACAGGAATAATTGTATAACAGTGCTTATTTTGCAGAACCGTAACCTCTTCACCATAGCAACTGCATGGTTGTAAGTGTTCCCTAATTGTGGAGGCCATATACTTTATCAGTAGGAGTTCATGCACCTACAGAAGCTGTATCATGTAATGTTTATGTCCTATTTATATTGACATTATTGGTGGGCCCCCCCTTATTATAGTACACAACTGAGTTGTGATTTGTGCTAAATATTGTAAATTTAACTTATTCCTTTAAAATGTAAGTCATATGGGGCTTTTATCGTTTTATGTAATTAATAAACACGATCGTTTGGACTGTTATCACTGCCATTTGGAGTAAATTAATGAATACTTAATTTTAACTTATTCTTGACTTACAATAAATATTTGTTGCCTATGACACCATCCTAAATTAAGAAGGCTGTTTGTTCTTCCGTCTCAAATTCCTTTCTAGTAATTATTTGTATGCTTGTATGCATAGCCATGCATGAACACAATGCTGGTAATTCATACTCTAATATCTATGATGTGGGAGTGTTATTAACAACCTGACATTACAGTATCCTGATAATAAGACAGTATTCAAGACAGCTAATCACATGACACATTAGCTATAGCTTGAGCTAGCTACAGAATATATAGTTTGCCTTAACCTCTCTTAGACTCTTGCTTACACTGATGATGGCTTTATCTAAGGGACCGCTGGCAAGAGCTGAGAAGATACAGACACCAACTCCTAGGCTGCAAGAAAGCAACTGTATAGCAGCTATTGACTTTGGAACATCATCAGTATCAGTAGCATACACAACTCCAAATGATGGGCAGATACGACTTGTACCACTTTACAATACTTCTGAAAGAGTCTCTAATTCTATACTAATAGTGAAGGACCAGGAGAATCAACAATCCAAAGTCATTGGGATTGGCCATAGGGCACAAAGCATATACAGTGATTCGGCAAAGAAAGGTGCCGAAAACTTCATTTACTTTGAAAGAATAAAGACATTACTTGAAAGAGAAAAAGTAAGTTTATGCATGTTGTTTGTTATTTATATTTATTAATATTAGTCAGTAAATCGTACTACTGAAGTCTCTTCATTCACTGGTGGATCATATTATCTCATTGAAGTTATAGCTTTTATACTAACACACCTCAAGGAGAAGCTATTGACTGATCATCTGAAAGGAAACTACAAGTCAACTGATTTTGATTGGGTCATTACTGTTCCTGCTATATGGAAAGCAAGAGCAAGAAGAATGATGAGAGAAGCTGCTTATATGGTAACCTAATACATGCTTTGTATTTCATTATGTTAATATGATAGGCTGGTCTCACTTCTGATGCTCCTGGTATAACAAGGTTCACTCCAGTTGGTTCCCCTTTACCACGTCCAGAGGAGGTTAATCCTGAGAAGCTATCATTAGCTCTAGAACCAGAAGTAGCTGCTATATATGCACAGCATCAGTCAGAAGTATCAGGAACACCTCCACAGAGATATATGGTAGTTGACATAGGAGGAGGTACAGTTGATATTACTGTACATGATAAGAGTAATGGGAAAGTTAGTGTAGTACTACCACCAATGGGGAACACTTGGGGGGGAACAACTGTCAATGAAGAATTGTCAATGTTACTGGAAGAAATAGTTGATGATAAAGATTTCAAATCTTTCATGAAGCCAAATCCTATTAGTGCCAAAGCTACACTAAATAAGTTTTTCTACGAAGAATTTGAAGAGCGAAAGAAAAGATTTGGGGACATAATAGAGGGTATCAATGAAGTAACAGTAACATTGCCAAGAACTTTTATCATGCACTATGGCAATAATGTCCTTAATGAAGTAAAAAAGCTGAATATGCATTATGATCCAGGAGAAGGTTCATTAAGCATAGAATACTACCTATTAGAAGAGAAGGTATTCAAATTCACAATAGATATGATCATAAAGTGTGTGAGAGCAGCATTTGATGAGCTTAAGCCTGATGGAATCGATACAGTTTATCTGGTAGGAGGGTTTGGAGGGTGTAGGTTTGTTAGGCAAAAAATAGAAGAAGCTATTGCTCAGCATCGTGGCATGTTTTATGATAATATAGTGTGTCCTGTACAACCAGATCTTGCTGTTGTAACAGGAGCAGTAATGTGGAGGAAAGATCCTAACATAATCCAATCACGTGTTGCTGATGCTACCTATGGGACAGCTGTTAATGCTCCATTCAACCCATCAATACATGATATATATTACTGGTTTGTAGATGAAGATCGTCAACAACGTTGCAAAGATGTGTTTGTGGTATTTGTACTCAAAGGGGAAAAGATAAAGGATGAAGTATACAAAGAAACAGGACTGCCTATTTCTCAAAGTACAGAAAAACAATGTATCTCTATATTCTGTACAACAGATGATGGAGTGCAGTATACAAGAGATAAAAAAGGTAAACGTACAGTACGTAAGATTGGTGAGCTAATACTTGATGTTCCTAATCCTGATAATGTACCAAGAAAAAAGAGAGTATTCAATGTATTCATGGATTTCAGTGGTACAGAGATACAAGCAAGAGCTCAGTATCGTATCACTGGAGAAGAAGTGAAAACAGTTTGTGACTTTCTTTCAAACCAAGACTAGTAATAATGATAAAAATAAAAGAATAGTACATGCAGTTACCATATCTGGAGTGGCTTTCTTGTGCATTTAGTTTTAAATTTTTTGACTCATTTATGTGTAATGAATATTCTTAATACATGCATACACATTTATAGAACCAAGTGATACAAACTAATAAATAATTACAATAACTATTAATTTTATGACTTACAGCTGTGAATTTCTCCAGTTAATCATTTCTTAGCAAAAGTTGAACCAGGTCAGCAGTCTGTTCATTATTCCAGTGACAAATTATTACCAATATGAACATAATTTGAATCTAAGAAATAATAAGTACATTTAGCATTAAAAATATTCTATACTAAGTAATTTCAGTACTCAATAAAATTGAGATGTTTCTGAAACATTTTTTGGAAAAAAGCATGAACTATAGTACAACAGTGTGATTTTTTAGAAATTGGCTTATTTTTTTAAATGGCCAAGCTATAGTCGGTATCACCTCAAACTTTCTACACAGCATAAGGACATCAATATGCATCAGAAAGTGACAGAAACTGTAATAAAATTTCAGGTGGCTTTGGAGCCATTAATCAGAAAAAACCATGGGCTGGTAGTGCTACTATAAGTAGGATTCACACTCATGTTCAAAATGACTGAACAACTTTTGTAGCTCTTAGCGAAACTTTATATTTAGCATAAGGACATCAGTATGCACTAATAATTGTAAATATTTCTTAATATATACTGTCTAACCTTTTATGCCGCTGATTTTGTGTCTACAATGAGCAATCAATGGTTTACAAGTATACTAGAATTTTGTTTTAATAATATTAGAAACTACAATGATATCGTATGGTAATCTAAATTACAACAACACAGTAAGCAAGAAAGCTGTGAAACTAAAAATGCACACTTAGAGAAATATTAGCAGTTTGAAAATTAAGTTCAGTATATTATGTTAAGAAGAAACTAAAGCTGCTAATATAAATTTTTGGCCATTCAAATTCACCATATACTGTAGCTACAGAGAATAATGACACACCTTCTAAATCAATTCTCACTACTGATGGCAGCAATATGATAAATACTGTAATAAGCTGATATACCCCCATTTGTAATAAACAAAACTTTATATCCCACTATAATTCATGATTATTAATCATGATCACATTCACTGGAGTAATAGTGAAACTACTTTGTAAAAATTAATACAATAACAAATGAATGGTCTAGAAACAAAACGGAAATTATCTACTTATGAAAAACTCAAGTTCATGAACTGACTAGCTCAGTTGTGTTCAAAATTAGTTGCAAAAGATGGAGAGGAATGGCTTATCAGTGCTGTGTTCACGGCTACGGAAACATATATCCTGTGCATCATCATTCTCATTTGTTGTCCAAATAACAACTCCATAATTTCCTTCTCCTTTCTTCCAGTTTTGTGCTGCTTCAGTGATATCCAGTTGAAGCCATGGTTTAGTAGGAGGGAAGATAACAGTGTCCAAAGTATTTGGATTTGCATCAGTCCCATCAAGAGCAAGATAAGGTTTGCTCCATCTTATTCCAGTCTTGCGATAAGTACTTGTTGCCTGCGACTTTGTCTGATCTAAAATAAAAATAATTTTCCCATCATAATTTAGGTTATTTCTCTCTGTTCCTAATTTCCTCCCCTCCCTTTCTTATTATATAAATAACCTGGTGTACTTGAACTGTTCTGTGAATATTAGTCGCATCTACCCAGCTAGGTTTGTGTGAATACCAATATGAAATATTAAATATTAAATATTTAAGTTAGTTGATACTTTCTCTAGTAAATATCTTTTTTTTGTTGCATTTAGACAATAAACAAACCCATTGCCACTACAAGGGCCTTGACTCTTGGAATAGCCTATGACAGTGCAGGAAGAGCACTTTACAGTAATATAATAAACATTAAAAGAAGCATAGACTCTACCAGTTGTATAGCCATCAAGCCAAGTACTGCAACAAACAAGAAAATGATGTATATAAGTGTCAAGGCATTGTCCAAGTTATTGGGAGAGAAAGCAGTTGTATGGGGATGGTCAACCACAATGAAATAAAGTAGTGGCTATATCAACAAGTAATTGTCTACTTAAGTTCAAGTTCAAATAACTTGTGAAATTAATTCTTTTAATTAATACAAAAAATATCAAAAAATGGCCTAAAAACAAAACTACTTGTAAAAAAATTCAAGTTCATGACCTGACTAACTCAAATCAGTTTAGAATCAGTTGCAAAAGATGGAGAGGAATGGCTTATCAGTGCTGTGTTCACGGCTACGAAAGCGAATGTCCCGTGCATCATCATTCTCATTTGTTGTCCAAATAACAACTCCATAATTTTCCTCTCCATTCTTCCAGTTTTGTGCTGCTTCAGTGATATCCAGTTGAAGCCATGATTTAGTAGGAGGGAAGATAACAGTGTCCAAAGTATTTGGATTTGCATCAGTCCCATCAAGAGCAAGATAAGGTTTGCTCCATTTTACTCCAGTCTTGCGATAAGTACTTGTTGCCTGCGACTCTGTCCAATCTTCTTTGATCTAAAATAAAAAATAATACTAATTAATTTTCAATTATTTCAGGCTACTTCTCCTCTCTTTCCCTTTCTTATTATAATAACCTGATGGACTTGAACTGTCCTATTGATATTAACTAAAGTTTTTATATAGCTGGCTTTGTGCGAATACCAATACTTCAAGTAAAGTTTTGCTGAAACAATTTTATCACATTCTGTAGGTATGTCACCAAACTGAATGAGAATCCTTTTCTTGACAAAACCAGGATGCTTGCCAAATATAAGAAACTTGTACGAGTTCATGTTTCTTGATCCAACTTCCAGGAAGACATCTTTTGTTGCTTTAAGACAATAGACAGGCCCATTGCCGCAACAAGAATCATTGGCATAACCTGTAGGAAGAGATTATAATATTGATGTGATATTAAAAGAAGTTCACCAGTGGCAGCCATGAAGGCAAGGACTACAACAAGGAAGAGAAAGTATCCAGACATTCTATAGATAAGAAATCCAAACTTCTGATATATCACAAGTCTCCAGCTCACCTCTTTTATATACAAATGTACATGTATAAATTAATATGTCAGTATGTGCAGACAAAACACCATTTGAACTATAGTAGACTACTTCACCCACACAAAGGTTGGCGATAGCAATAATAAGCTTTTGAACTCCTACTTTATGCAGAAACTCCCCAATTATAGGTGCCAATGATTGGTCTCTATTGACCCTAGCAGACGTGAGATCAAGTAAACAGGACACCCATAATTGCATAAGAGTGCTTATCTTGCAGAACAACAACCTCTTCACTTAAAATCACTGTAGCAACTGGTTGTAAGTGCTTCCTAATTGTGGAGGCCATATACTACAAGTAGGAGTTCATACACCTACAGAAGCTGTATCATGTAATGTTTATGTCCTGTTTAAATTGAGATCATTGGTGGACACCCATATTATAGTACACACTGAGTCGTGATTTGTGCTAAATATTGTAAATTTAACTTATTCCTTTAAAATGTATGTCATATGGGGCTTTTATGGAATTCATAAACACGATCGTTTGGACTGTCATCACAGCCATTTGGAGTAAATTAATTAATACTTAATTTCATTCTTGACTTATAATAAATATTTATTGCCTATGACTCCATCCTGAATTAAGAAAGCTGTTTGTTCTTCCGTCCCAAATTCCTTCCTAGCAATATTCACAAATCAACTAACAAATGCACCTCAAGTTATGGTGTAATTACTTAAATACAGTATAAAGTGGAGGGAGCTCAATCTTCCTCAGTATGTTTATAAGGTACAGTCTATGTAAAGTAATCACAGTGTTCTAGTCTTAGAACATAAGTGCATACGCTACTGACCATAAATTAATCATACATGTACAAGCAGAGACTTTAGTACAGCACATTCAGTGCATGTTATTTATGCACACAATTCATAAAATTGGTTGCAAAATTATAAAGAGAGACACACAAAAATAATAGTAGCCCTAGCGTGAGAAAAACTATCAGTCACATCTAGCAGTTTATATAAAGATAAAATAATACTGAAGATACTCACAAGCAGTTATGCTCATATAAGTGCAAGTCACATGATAGGACTAGAAGAACAAACACAGCTAACAAACTGTCCTGAAACCTAATGATGGCTTTATCTAAGGGACCACTGGCAAGAGCTGAGAAGATACAGACACCAACTCCTAGGCTACAAGAAAGCAACTGTATAGCAGCTATTGACTTTGGAACCTCATCACTATCAGTAGCATATACCACTCCAAGAACAGGAGGAGATGTAAAAATTCTACCACTTTACAGTTCACTAGAAAGAATCCCTAATGCTATACTGATCATGAGAGATGAGCTGGGGCAGCAATATCTAACAATTGAGATTGGACGCCAAGCACAGACTAGGTACAGTGATATCAAGAAGAAAGCTGCTAAAAACTTCATTTATTTCGAAAGAATAAAGAATTTACTACAGAGAGATATAGTGAGTCAAAAATTAAAACACTCATTATTCAGTATACAATTCTTCTAGTCATTAAACCGTACTACTGAAGTCTCTTCATTCACTGATGGAGGATCTTATTATCTCATTGAAGTTATAGCTTTTATACTAACACACCTCAAAAAGATGCTGCTGAATGATCATCTGAAAGGAAACTACAAGTCAAGTGATTTTGATTGGGTAATTACTGTTCCTGCTATATGGAAAGCAAGAGCAAGAAGAATGATGAGAGAAGCTGCTTATATGGTAACTTAATACATGCTTTGTATTTCATTATGTTAATATGATAGGCTGGTCTGACTTCTGATGCTCCTGGTATAACAAGGTTCACTCCAGTTGGTTCTCCTTTACCACGTCCAGAGGAGGTTAATCCTGAGAAGCTATCATTAGCTCTAGAACCAGAAGTAGCTGCTATATATGCACAGCATAAGTCAGAAGTATCAGGAACACCTCCACAGAGATATATGGTAGTTGATATAGGAGGAGGTACAGTTGATATTACTGTACATGATAAGAGTAATGGGAGAATTAGTGTAGTACTACCACCAATGGGCAACACCTGGGGAGGTACTACTGTCAATGAAGAATTGTCAATGTTACTGGAAGAAATAGTAAATGATAAAGGTTTCAAATCTTTCATAAAGTCTAATCCAATTGGCGCCAAGGCTACACTTAATAAATTTTTTTATGAAGAATTTGAAGAGCGAAAGAAAATGTTTGGAAATGCAAAAGTGGGTATTCGTGAAATAGTATTGACCTTGCCAAACACTTTTGTAAAATTTTATGGAAATGAGAAGCTTTATGAAGCAAGGAAGCTGAATATGCATTATGATCCAGGAGATGATACATTGAGCATTGAATACGACCTATTAGAAGAGAAGGTATTCAAATTCACAACAGATATGATCATAGAGTGCGTGAGAGCAGCATTTAAGGGCCTGACAGATCATATCGATACAGTTTATCTAGTAGGAGGGTTTGGAGGATGTAAGTTTGTTAGGCAAAGGATAGAAGAAGGTATTGCTCAGCATTGTGGTATTCTTTTTGATAATATAGAGTGTCCTATACAACCAGATCTTGCTGTTGTATTAGGAGCGGTAATGTGGAGGAAAGATCCTAACATAATCCAATCACGTGTTGCTGATGCTACCTATGGGACAGGTCTCTCTGATGCATTTGACCCATCAATACATGATGAGCATTACAAGTTTTTCAATGAAGATGGTGTACAACGTTGCGACAATGTCTTTGAGGTATTTGTACTCAAAGGAGAAGTAATTCGACAAGATGAAGTATATCAAACAACATTGATACCTTTTTCTCAAAGCTACATACTAGTTAATATTCCTATATTCTCTACAGCAGATGATGGAGTTCAGTATGTCAGAGATAAAGAAGGTAAACATACAGTACGTAAGATTGGTGAGCTAATACTTGATCTTCCTAATCCTGATAATGTACCAAATAAAGAGAGAAGATATGACGTATTTATGGATTTCAGAGGTACGGAGATACAAGCAAGAGCTAAGTATAGTATCACAGGAGAAGAAGTGAAAACAGTTTGTGACTTTCTAATCAAACCAAGACTAATAATAATAACAATAATGAAAACGAAAGAATAGTACATGTAATGTATTGCTAGTAACAATGACTAAAGTGTTTATTACCATAAATGGAGTGACTTTTTGTGCAATTAGACTAAGTTTTAAAATTTTTTGACTTGTTCATGTGTACAAATTTTAACATTTATAATTTTAACTTTTCTGAATAGAAACACGCGGTTTTGCACATGCACAGATGCAGTACTTGGAATCGGTATTTGATCCATTGATTCGAGTCCCATAAGTATTTGGAATCGGAATTGATTGCAAATTTCTAAAAACCCAATCATGGCTTTATCATAGATATTAGACTAATATTTATGGCTTTATCTAAAGGACCACTGGCAAGAGCTGAGAAGATACAGACATCAACTCCTAGATTACAAGAAAGCAAATGTACTGCAGCTATTGACTTTGGAACATTATCTCTATCAGCAAGAGTGGATCCACTCTTGCTATCAGTAGCATACACCACTCCAACAACAGGAAGAGATGTAAAAGTTTTACTACTTCACAGTACATTGGAAAGTGATCATGAAAGATGAGCTGGGGCAACAATATCTAACAATTGAGATTGGACACCAAGCACAAACTATCTACAGTGATATCAAGAAAGCTGCTAAACAAACTAAATAACTGCAGCTGTAGTTAATATTGCTAACTAAATGAAAACTGATAAACTAACTAATCGACTGCTGCTCCAGTTCATAGTGAATCACATAGTCAAGCCTCTCTGTCCCATGACCTGTGATACAATCAGGTTCCAAACATCACAAACACATATCACTGTTGATACATTCCTAACACATTGATCTGTACTGTGAGTCATGATCACTATAAAAGAAAAGAACCACTTCTAGAAACATTTTCATTATTCATTATTATTAGCCCCATTTCAATATTTATTACCATGTGCCACAATTTAGCTCATAGTCATAGTTTGGTTAGTTCTGAAAGTGTGGTAAATTTCATAAGTTTTATCATGTAAGATGATTGATGTCTCTCAATGGAGAGCAAGTATTGGACTGTGGAACTACTGTCAAGCTGCCTCCAGTAGACCAGCTAATGGCCTCCACTCATTCAAAGCTGCAAGTGTAACTGTAAGTGTATCACAATTACTTGTAGGTTACATACCAATCTATGTTTACACAAGAATCTTTTGAGGATATCTAAGATGCCACCTGTTACCTTTGGAGTAGCATACACATTCTTTGCCAATGCCCTTATAAGGAGATTTGTGCCCACTTTTGTGGTGTGTTCACTCATCAAAGGCAAGGAACACTCATCTCTGTTTCAAGCACTATATATAAATTCTTATTGTCTTAAAACATGATTGATATCTCTCAATGGAGAGCAAGTATTGGACTGTGGAACTACTGTCAAGCTGCCTCCAGTAGACCAGCTAATGGCCGCCACTCTCACTCATTCAAAGCTGCAGTAGACAGCAAGTCAGGCAGTACTACATCAGGAGAGAAGACATCTAAACTGCCAGCAGCTCTGTCTCTTATTGCTTTACTCCTCCTCCTCTTTCACTCTCTCTCTTTATTAAGACACATCTTGATGATTCTTCCAACAGGTAAACAGCAATTGCAGCTTTGTATTTGTATATTTACTGGTATTTTATTATTAGGTAACTGCTACCAAGTACAATGTACTACTGATGTTACTGTTACTGATACAAATTACCTCCAGTCAGTAGTCTTACCTGGAGGCAGCAGTTCTAACCTGATTTACAATGATCTCTATTTGGTTGTTTGTCTACGTATGCTCCTCCTCTTATCAGGAGATGTTGAACTCAATCCTGGTCCTATGATTGATGATCGACCTGATATTTCATTATTAAATCAATGGCTTGAACCACTTGCCAACTGGAAACCATTTGGTTTATATTTAGTTGGAATGGAAGAGCATGACATTTTAAAAATTGAACAAGAACATCTAAAAACAGAAGACAGGAAGTTAGCATTATACTCAAAATGGTTGTCAGTCAATCCTAAAGCAACATGGAGAGATGTCATTGATGCCCTGACTAGACTCAATCAGAATAAACTAGCTCAAAATATTAAAGATCACATGTACAGTGGTGCTGTTTCTACATTATCGACATTATTACCAATAAAATTAAGCTCTGATGGTAAGCTATACTATAGATAGCACTTTACTTTCAAAGAGCATCCTCAAATGATATGTAGTATATGCTCAGCAAAAGTAAAGCACTGTACAGTGATAATAAAATTACGACAATATAATATAATAATATATTAGTGATAATATATTACGTACCACATAGACCATGATGCTGCCTCTATAACAACACCATCATCGAAAACTTCAAAGTTAGATGGTAAGTTTTAAAGACTAATAGATTTATGGCTCTGTTGATCAATTTTTGTAGGAGATATTGAAAAAAATTTTTTTTCACAAGAAGACCAAACAGTTCAAGACTCTTTAGATGATTTACAAGCAAAATTCTCACACATCATGACAGAAATAAAATCAAAATTTTGTAAAAAAGCAACTAATGACAATGAACTGTCCACTAAAATATCCTATTGGGTTGAGTGCTACCTTCATTGGGAGCATGGTACAGCAGGGAGTGATTTAGATTATATTTTCAAGAAGATCTATCATTATTATGATTTCAGTGACTGTAGTCTGATAGTTGCTATGTGTAATGAGTTTATAAGTGATGAAGAAGATCTACTTGATGAACTGAAGACATAATCACAAAATGTTGTTACATTTCGCTCATCAACACCAATGTTTAAGCTCAAACAAAAACTATGCAAAGTGTATGAGCCTTATAGAAGATGTTTGAAAAAAATGCCTTTGATCTGCATCAAGCTTCAAAATCCTTGGAATGAAGCTAAAATTAGTGGATTGCGTATTCTCATTGAAAGATTGCTACCAAAAGAACTGAGACAATCAATAATGAAATGTATCACTATTGAGCCAGGATCTGTTGTCATTAAGTTACATATTCTTGACATTACAGCTGATAGTCTAATAGAATATACTGGAGGAAAGTTACAGTTTATGCGTCTCATTGGTATATTTAGTTTATACATTAATGACCATCCTGTCCTTGAAGAAGATGAGAATATGAACTTCACCTTTGAACTAGCTCTTCTTGAGGCAGTCACAGCTGGTAATAATGAAAGAGCAGATTTTCTTTGTACACTTAGACCACCATTATCACAAGCTGAGAAGATACAGACACCAACTCCTAGACTACAAGAAAGCAATTGTATAGCAGCTATTGACTTTGGAACCTCATCTCTATCAGTAGCATATACCACTCCAACTGATGATCAGATCAGACTGGTACCACTTCACAGCACCCTTGAAAGAGTCCCTAATGCTATACTAATCATGAAGGACCAGAAGAATCAACAATGTGAAGTCATTGGGATTGGTAATATGGCACAAAGCATCATGTACTGCAGTGATTTAAAGAAAGGTGCCAAAAACTTCATTTACTTTGAAAGAATAAAGAATTTACTAGAAAGAGATAACGTATGTTCATGTTGTTTAGTATTTATATTTTTTTCAATATTAATATTAGTCAGTAAACCGTACTACTGAAGTCTCTTCATTCACTGGTGGATCTTATTATCTTATTGAAGTTATAGCTTTTATACTAACACATCTCAAGGAGAAGCTACTGACTGATGAGCTAAAGGAAGTTTACAAGTCAACTGATTTTGATTGGGTCATTACTGTTCCTGCTATATGGAAAGCAAGAGCAAGAAGAATGATGAGAGAAGCTGCTTATATGGTAACCTAATCCATGCTTTGTATTTCATTATGTTAATATGATAGGCTGGTCTCACTTCTGATGCTCCTGGTATAACAAGGTTCACTCCAGTTGGTTCCCCTTTACCACGTCCAGAGGAGGTTAATCCTGAGAAGCTATCATTAGCTCTAGAACCAGAAGTAGCTGCTATATATGCACAGCATCAGTCAGAAGTATCAGGAACACCTCCACAGAGATATATGGTAGTTGATATAGGAGGAGGTACAGTTGATATTACTGTACATGATAAGAGTAACAGGAGAATTAGTGTAGTACTACCACCAATGGGCAACACTTGGGGAGGAACAACCATCAACGAGACACCTACGGTGCATGGCCTCGCCCCTATAGCTGCTATGGTGCATGCCCACACTGCAATAGCTGTTTGATTATCAGCATGAAGAGAGTCTGCTCAACACTAGCTTCCTGCAGTTGCACTTGCTCTTGAATACCTGCAGAAGTAGCAGCACTGCAGCACATACATGCAAGCAGCTCCAGCCCCTCCCATGCATGTAGATTGAAGGTGTGGCATTCCATCATAACTGGAATGATTGGCAGCAAGAAGACCATGTGAGAAAGAAGCTTCACTTTTTCTTTACTAATCAGCAATATATGATAAACTTGCTGACAAAAAAGTTGCTGCCTTTGTATATTTGAGATAGTATAGGTACTTTAGTACCTATAACCCAGCAAGTTGTTGCTCTAGCGCTGCACAAACGAGTGACCTCAACAATTTCAAGTAAGTATAACTCTTCATCAAGTAAGATTTAGAGTAATCTGTTCATATTATTTGAAGGCCATGTTCTAATCTACTGAAAAATGCTACCATCTATCTCTAAAGTGCCAACACAACGGAACTTGGCCCAAATGCTCGGTTTTCTTACTTTGAAGCTTCTGTACCTAGCACTTGTATTTGAGCAACACAAAACAGTTAAGAAAGACTTTTCCACGCCAAAAAGAAAGATCTAGGAGCTTGAAACATGCTGTGCTAAAGTTATTGTTTATTAAAAACAAATTTCAGTTGTACAGAATGAATGAATGACAGACAGACAGACACAACAACTACCTATACCTCGCGTAGGCGAGGCCAATGAAGCATTATCAATGTTACTGGAAGAAATAGTAGATGATAAAGGTTTCAATGCTTTTTTATCATCAGATCCAATTGGTGCCAAGGTAACATTAAATAAGCTCTGCTATCAAGATTTTGAGAAGCATAAAATAATATTTGGTGAAGCAATAGTGGATATACATGAAGTAATATTAAATTTACCCAGAAAATTAGTGCTTTTTTATGGCAAAGATAGGCTTTTTAAAGCAAGGAAGATGGGGATGCATTATGATCCAGGGGATGATTCATTAATAATAGAATTTGATCAACTAGAAAAGGAAGTATTCCAATTTACAAAAGTCGTGGCAGCCATTTTGTTTGGGGGTGAATCCTACTTAGTAACGCTACCGCGTTACTAATAGATAAGATCATAGAGTACATGAGAGCAGCATTTGATGAGCTAGCTGGCAAAATCGATACAGTTTATCTAGTAGGAGGGTTTGGAGGGTGTAGGTTTGTTAGGCAAAAGATAGAAGAAGGTATTGCTCAGCATCGTGGCATTCTTTATGATAATATAGTGTGTCCTCAACATTCAGATCTTGCTGTTGTATCAGGAGCAGTAATGTGGAGGAAAGATCCTAACATAATCCAATCACTTGTTGCTGATGCTACTTATGGAATTGGTATTGTTACTTTCTTTAACCCATCAATACATGACGAACATTACAAGTTTATCAATGAAGAAGGTGTGCAATGTTGTGGCAATGTTTTTAACATATTTGTACTCAAAGGAGAACTAATTCGACAAAATGAAGTATATCAAACAACATTAGTAGTTGATTCTCAAAGCTACACACAAGCACACATTCCTATATACTGTACATTAGATGATGGAGTTCAGTATGTAAGAGATAAAGAAGGTAAACCAACAGTACATGAAATTGGTAAGCTAGTACTTGATCTTCCTAATCCTGAGAATATACCAAGAAATGAGAGAAAATACGACATATTTATGGATTTCAGTGGTACAGAGATACAAGCAAGAGTTCAGTATAGCATCACTGGAGAAGAAGTAAAAACAGTTTGTGACTTTCTATCAAACCAAGACTAATAATAATAATAATAACAATAATGAAAGAATAATACATGTAACGTAATACTAGTAACGACTATAGTTTTTATTACCATAAATGGGGTGAATTTTTTGTGCAGTTAGACTAGTTTTGAAATTTTTTGACTTGTTTAACGTGTAGCACATTATTTTAAATACTTGCATACAAATTTTGAAATTTATGAAACTAATAATTGGTTGTATACGCAATAACTATTTATCACTAGTCTAGTTATGACGTACAGCTGTGAGGTAAATTTTTCCAGTTTACTATTTTTTAAAAGTTAAAACAAGTTGAACCAGGCCAGTGGTCTATCTATTAATCCAGTCACATTATTATGAATATAAGAAATAAAACTAATGATAGTAAGTACATTTAGCATCAAAATTATTATATACTAAATAAATAAAGTAATTGCAGTACTTCATAAAAATTGAGATGCTTCTGAAGCATTAATTTTTTTGGAAATAAAGCATGGGCTGTAGTACAGGGTTTTTTCAGAAATTGGCTTATTTCTAAAATGGCCTTAACTCAAAAAGATTTAGTCGGAATCACTTCAAACTTTCTACACAGCATAAGGACATCAATATGTATCAAACAATGTAATAAAAATTGGAGGGAGGGGGGCAGATTTTGGAGCCATTCTTGGGAAAAACCATGGGCTATAGTAATGTGGTATTTTTTCTAATTAGGATTCACACTCCTGTTCCCAATCACTGAACAAAAATTTTTTGTGAAACTTCATGACATCAATATGCATTGTGAAATATTTCCTGATATGTTTTCTTATGTCTACAATGAGCCATTAATTGTCTCTAGTCCATAATGAATTACATGGTCACATGACCTGTGATTGATACAATCAGGCTCCAAATGTCACAAACACATATCACTGTTGATACATTCCTAGTACATTGATTTATATTGTGAGTCATAATCACTATGAAAGGAACAGAACCAGTTCTATAAGCATTATTAGCATGCTACGCAAAATGTACACATAGGTAATAAAACATACTCTTATCATGTAATGGAGTGAGCGCTACCATGTAAAGTAACAAGTAATGTCTAATTGAACATGCAGCAAAATTGTACACACAAATACTATATATAGACAACAAAATTGTGTAAATTAGAAAAAAATTCCAATCTTGTATTTAGGCCTTGTGGTATAAACAAAATTAGGATGAAGATAAATCATGATGAGGAGAAAGAAATAGTCACATGCAGGCAGTATATAAGTTAGATATATTTTGATGTATAAGGGTCATGTCATCCCTAATAAACTATGGTGTATTATGTACACTATACTGCACAACCCTTTTAATCATATGCATAGCTTTGCCATGATCATGACATCACAAGCATGTGATATTGAAAAATGAAATATCAGCAAGAGTCTGCAATGAAATAAATTAATAAAATGATAATCACTGCCGATAATGATATTCAGTGTTATTGCTCTGTTCCATTGACTATTTTCATGTATGATGTACCACACACATACTGTTGTTGCAAAAGCTTGCTCCTTGGTCTAATTTACTCCTCTTCCTCCTCTGTCTTTATTATGGTGTTACTGTGTAGAGGATCATAAAAATAGTACATACCTCAAGTTACTTAATTTCTCATTGTCCTCCTTACCATAGTACAAGATGATTGATATTCGTTTCCAGTCATTAGTCTTGTTTGTAGCTATTAGCAGTAGCTCCTCTGACCTGATCTACTATTTGGTTTTATTTCTCCTCCTCCTCTTATCAGGAGATGTTGAACTCAATCCTGGCCCTATGATTGATGATCAACCATCTTGTATCTCATTTGCACAATATTTTAAAGCACTTATTGATTGGAAGCCATTTGCACTTTGTCTTCCTGGAATAACACAATCTGATGTCAGCATAGTGACAACAAAAAAAGTTCCTCTCTTCAGGATGGTCACTTTATGTAAAAAATGGATAGAAGTTAATCCTACAGCATCATGGAGAGATGTCATTAATGCTTTGAAACAATGTAAAGAGAATGAACTAGCTAGAACTATTGAAGGAAGAGTAACGGAGCAACCTTCTGTCAATGATAACTTTAAAAACACTTCACCAGGTAGTCACTTAACATTTAGCATTGACTGATATAGCTTCTATATAGATAAAAGGATAGAACCTATTGAAGGAAAAAATTCAATTAATGAAAATTCAATAGTACTGGAAAAAGAAAAAAGTTCTACTGATATTGACAGTAATGGAGACACTAGATCTACATCAGGTATAATAACTTAGCTATATACAACACCGTCATAAAACACATTAAAGGAGCTAATTCAAATAACGAAAGCATATCAACAGCAGAAGAAGAGAATGGATCCACTCATAGTAGCAATCATGACACTGCAAGAGGTAAGCATAATATTATTTCAACACTCATTATAGACAACTAGGTGATCATCCAAATGAAATATTAAGGACCCATTATTATGAATTAGTTCATGCTATCAGTGAGCCGAATCTTTGCAATATAACAGTTACACTGCATACTAAAGAACTGATACCACAACAAACTAAGGAGGAGATGCTTGTATTAGGAGTAACTAATAAAGAGAAATCTAGTAAACTTATATGAATGTCATTGAGCAACAGTTGGAAGCCTCTCTTAATCCAAAGCAGTATCTTATTGATATATGTCATGTATTAATAAACCAACAACATCATGCACTAAAAGATATTGCTACCTCTATATTACACCAGTTAGGTGAGTGTGTGTGTACATTATCAGTGATCAATATAGTCATTATACCTCAATACATTAGGTCAGCCTATACCCAAAAATGTCAGTTTACATACTGTACTACTATCACCAGTTGATGGTATATTAAATACACGAGTTACAATGAATGGTAATGTTTTGCTAACAAATATCTTTAATTTCTAATTCCTAATAGATTTGATATGTAAAGGAACACGTCTTGCTAATGATTCTCTAGGGAGCAGTGGAGAAGTGAGTTCATAATTGTAGCCTGCATAGATCAATACTATAATCTACCAACCGGTTTATTTTAGATACCAAGACTTGGTTCCACTATCAAATATAATGTAAAGGGTTATCTAGATAATGAACTAAAGTGGAAGTGGGTGTGTACATTGGAAGATACATGTACAGGATTGAAAACAGAAGGGCCTCCTATGCAAAGTCATGATGATGCAATCAAACATTGTCTTAAAAGGATATGAGCTGTTCTAACTCAGCATTTCTATTCCATTTTGCAAAGGATATAAATTCTTAAAAGCAACATTTATAGAAAATATCAAAATAATTGGTTATTATTGATTTAACCTACACGCACCATAGATGCACGCACGTGATCATGCAGCCACGCCTTGTTTGTATAATTTTATTTGCTAGCTGTTTGCAGAAATCCGCTGTCCCTCTTCTTTATCTTTATTAAGCTGAGTAATAAGCTCAACTTCATTGCTGTTATGATCTATACCCAATCATTAGTCTTGCTCATAGCGACCAGTAGCTTCGCGACTGGCTTTGATGTGAATGTGATCTGCTATTTGGTTTTACTTCTCCTCCTCTTATCAGGAGATGTTGAACTCAATCCTGGTCCTATGATTGATGATCAACCATCTTGCATCTTATTTGCAAAATATCTTCAAACACTTCATGACTGGAAGCCATTTGCTCTTTGTCTTCCTGGTGGGATTGGGATAACACAACTTGATGTTGATATAATTAAAACAAAAGGAAGCTCTTACCTCAGGATGGAGGCATTACACAAGAGATGGTTACAAGTTAATCCTACAGCATCATGGAGAGATGTCATTAATGCTTTGAAACAATGTAAAGAGAATGAACTAGCTAGAACTATTGAAGTAAAAGTAAAAAATTCCACTGGAAAATGTCTTGATGATAAAATGGAAGTCAATACAGGAGGTATTTTGACAGATTAATTATTCATAATTATGAATGGTTCATTACAGTCATTGCTGTAGATCATATTCATATTACAGAAATTAGTAAAGCAACTAATCTTACTGTAAAAGGAAGAAATGACAGTAATAATGATGCTAAAACAGGTAAATTACTAAACACAAACACTTCTAATAACTGATACATTACTGTAGATCATGGAACTGATTCAACAGTAGAAGAGAACCGGTCCAGTCATAATGACAGTAATAATGACACTACATCAGGTAAACATCATGTAAAGTATTTAGTTATTAAACAAAAACTAGGTGCTAACAATGCTTCTACACCAGTATCAATATCTGAACCTATAATTACTAGTACTATACCAGGTAAGCATACACTAATGCAACACTCATTAACTGATACACTGCTGCAGGTAATCCAAAGGATATATTAAGGATTAATTCTGATAAATTAGTTCATGCTATTAGTGTGAATCTATACGATGTAACTGATGCACTGTATGCTAAAGAACTGATACCACAACAAACTAGAGATGAGACGCATGTATTAGGATTAGCTGACAGTATAAAAGCTGGCAATCTTGTGCATGTATTAGAGGAGCAGTGTGAATCCTCTCTTAATCCAAAGCAGTATCTTATTGATACATGTCATGTATTAATAAACCAACATTGTACACTAACAGATATTGCTACCTCTATATTAGACCAGTTAGGTGAGTGTGTGTATGTGCACATTATGCCGAATCATAATGATTATATCCCAATATACTATTATAATACATTATTCTCTATACATTAGGTCAGCCTATACCTGATAATTTTAGTTCACCATCACCAGTTGATGATATATTAGATACACCAGTTACATTAAGAAGTAAATTTTATGAAGTAGAAAACATAATGTGATATCTATATAGGCATACTAAGAATAGGAACAGACATTGCTAATAATTTAATGGGAGAAAGTGGAGAAGTGAGTTCATAATTAATTTTAGTGCATGCATAATAATAATCTATCAACATTATTTTAGATACCTGCAGGACATGGTTCCACTATCAAATATAATGTAAAGGGTTATATGGATAATGGACTACAGTGGAAGTGGGTGTGTACATTCGAAGATACATGTACAGGATTGAAAATAGAAGGGCCTCCTAAAGAAAGTCGCACTGGTGCAATGGAGCATTGTCATAAAGCATGGCTTGAAAAAATTGGAGAGAAACCATAGACACATACCTTTTTTGCATACTTGAATTATATTTAGATAAATCTACTACTGAGCTTTACTGCATTTATTTTCTGAAAAGTTGTTATCCCTATTTGATGCTTCATATTTATTTTCCCAGCCTCGATCTTTATTGTCATATTATCCACATAATGCTTCATACCATAGATATACTACCCGTAAACTATGTTCTACTAGCTCTACATTATCTATGTTCATACTGAGGTACTCGATTCATCTGTATGTAGAGCTACTGGATTAAGGCTATATGTATTTGAAATGTACAGTACACATGATAATATTAGTGCTCAGTATAGTATGACTGGAGAAGTGAAAAAAGCTTGCAAATTTCTATTTAACCAAGACTATAATAAAAACAAAAGAACAGTACATGTAACATAATACTAGTAAATAATAATGACAAAAATTTTATTAACATAAATGGAGTGACATTCTTGTGCAAGTTTTCAAAAAATTTTTGACCTATTTTGTGTGTACTACTGTATTTGGCACTAATAATTATTAATGGACCTTATGCACCGAAATGATTCTAATTAACGCGCCACCAAAGTGGTGGTAAAATGGCGGATTTTTGGAGGGAAAGACAGGCTAAACAATCTTCTCTTTTATCCATCCATTCTAGCTGTGGGAGCCACTTTGAGCTGTCCTTTTGTTTCAGTATACTCTATTTATTTCTTCTGTAAGCTCTTTGGTTGCTGTTTTGGCTTTTATAGCATTTTGTCATAGGAATATTCTCAACCATTGGCCATTCCCGTTTTTCTAAATTTTGCTTTCAGGAGCTAGGGCGCTTGCCCCTCCATTGCTAGGAAGATAGAAGTGCATTCAGCTGAGTCCTATGACTAGCGTCTATCATCAGAGTTAGTCTCAGTCCATCAGGACAAGGTACGGTGGAATAACTCACTCAGTTGTTATTTTACAGCTGGAGTGTGGATGATTATGACCATCTTTTCACTTTTTAAAACTATAGGTTGGCTCTTTTATAGATAGTTGAGGCATGCAAGAACTCATTTTTTATCTGTAAATTCACTGGTTGTATTGTATGAGCACCTCATGTCGTATTAAAATCTGTCAGTTGCTATTCAGTACTTGCAGAAAGGAATCATCACATTCAGGACTCGTTCATGGCTCTTCACCATTTGTATCCTTTCCCAACAGTTTTACTTATTTTTTAAATTATAAAAAATATAATGGGTGTTGTTACTAGAACTATTATTGTTGTTATCACTAGGTCACTACATTGCATTTGTATAGACGACTATTTATGTATTTACACATACTTTATGATACTAACAGTATATACACAATAATTTGAAACCATCTCGACGATAACAAAGATAATTATTGTTATTAACATCAATTTTTTAACATGAATAAAAACATAAAAATCATGTAACGATGAAAGTGTTTTACTTCATACTGGATGTGACTATTAATAGCTAGTTACATGATGCTCGGCTATTCTAGCACACTTATGATCCTTGGAATGCTTCTTACATGTGAATAAAGACCAGTCCTATAGTTTTAAGAAGTGAAAAGATGGTCATAATCATCCACACTCCAGCTGTAAAATAACAACTGAGTGAGTTATTCCACCGTACCTTGTCCTGATGGACTGAGACTAACTCTGATGATAGACGCTAGTCATAGGACTCAGCTGAATGCACTTCTATCTTCCTAGCAATGGAGGGGCAAGCGCCCTAGCTCCTGAAAGCAAAATTTAGAAAAACGGGAATGGCCAATGGTTGAGAATATTCCTATGACAAAATGCTATAAAAGCCAAAACAGCAACCAAAGAGCTTACAGAAGAGATAAATAGAGTATACTGAAACAAAAGGACAGCTCAAAGTGGCTCCCACAGCTAGAATGGATGGATAAAAGAGAAGATTGTTTAGCCTGTCTTTCCCTCCAAAAATCCGCCATTTTACCACCACTTTGGTGGCGCGTTAATTAGAATCATTTCGGTGGCATCGGTGCATAAGGTCCATTGCAATAACTATCACCTATCACTAGTTATGACTTACAGCTGTGAGGTAGAATTTCTCCAGTTTACCATTTCTTAGTACAAGTTCAACCAGGTCAGTGGTCTGTCTCTTATCCGAGAAATGTGAAAAAAATTAAATAAAAAATAAACATTAAAATTTTGAGTCGGAATCACCTCAAACTTTCTACACAGCATAAGGACATCAATATCTATCAGAAAATGTGATAAAAATTACAGGTGATTTCAGAGCCATTTTTCAGAAAAAAAACATTCTATGGCCTTGGGTATTTCTCAAAAATTAAAAAATGGTCATAACTTAAAAAATTTAAGTTGGAATCAGCTCAAACTTCCTACACAGCATAAGGACATCAATATGCATCAAAAAAATGTAATAAAAATTTGTGGTGATTTCGGAGCCATTTTTGGAAATAAGTATGGGTATTTTTCAAAAATTGGCCATTTTAAAAGTGCTCATAACTTGAAAAGTTGGAGTCAGAATCATTTCAAACTTTCTACACAGCATAAAGACATTAATATGTATCAGAAAATGCAATAAAAATGGGGGGGGGGGGGGTGATTTCAGAGCCATTTTTCAGAATAGCTAATTAGAAAAATATCCAAGGCTGTATACTTGATACTACCTATTAGAAGAGAAGGTATTCAAATTCACAACAGATATGATCATAGAGTGTGTGAGAGCAGCATTTAAGGGCCTGACAGATCATATCGATACAGTTTATCTAGTAGGAGGGTTTGGAGGGTGCAAGTTTGTTAGGCAAAGGATAGAAGAAGCTATCACTCAGCATTGTGGTATTCTTTATGATAATATAGAGTGTCCTATACAACCAGATCTTGCTGTTGTATTAGGAGCAGTAATGTGGAGGAAAGATCCTAACATAATCCAATCACGTGTTGCTGATGCTACCTATGGGACAGGTCTCTCTGATGCATTTGACCCATCAATACATGATGAGCATTACAAGTTTTTCGATGAAGATGGTGTACAACGTTGCGACAATGTCTTTGAGGTATTTGTACTCAAAGGAGAAGTAATTCAACAAGATGAAGTATATCAAACAACATTGATACCTTTTTCTCAAAGCTACATACTAGTTAATATTCCTATATTCTCTACAGCAGATGATGGAGTTCAGTATGTCAGAGATAAAGAAGGTAAACGTACAGTACGTAAGATTGGTGAGCTAATACTTGATCTTCCTAATCCTGATAATGTACCAAACGAGACACCTACGGTGCATGGCCTCGCCCCTATAGCTGCTATGGTGCATGCCCGCACTTCAATAACTGTTTGATTATCAGCATGAAGAGAGTCTGCTCAACACTAACTTCCTACAGTTGCACTTGCTCTTGAATACCTGCATGCAGAAGTAGCAGCACTGCAGCACATATATGCAAGCAGCTCCAGCCCCTCCCATGCATGTAGATTGAAAGGTGTGGCATTCCATGAGTGGCAGCAAGAAGACCATGTGAGAAAGAAGCTTCACTTTTTCTTTACTAATCAGCAATATATGATAAACTTGCTGACAAAAAAAGTTGCTGCCTTTGTATATTTGAGATAGTATAGGTACTTTAGTACCTATAACCCAGCAAGTTGTTGCTCTAGCGCTGCACAAACGAGTGACCTCAACAATTTCAAGTAAGTATAACTCTTCATCAAGTAAGATTTAGAGAAATTTGTTCATAATTTTTGAAGGCCATGTTCTAATCTACTGAAAAATGCTACCAGCTATCTCTAAAGTGCCAACACAACGGAACTTGGCCCAACTACTCGATTTTCTTACTTTGAAGCTTCTGTACCTAGCACTTGTATTTGAGCAACACAAAACAGTTAAGAAAGACTTTTCCACGTCAAAAAGAAAGATCTAGGAGCTTAGAACACGCTGTGCTAAAGTTATTGTTTATTAAAAACAAATTTCAGTTGTACAGA